AAGCAGATTTCGTGCAAACTTGTACAGTTAGAAATTTGGTAAAACGATAATTTTGTTTAATAAAGAAAGTGCTTATCTTGGAGTTCTAAAATTGCATGGACGTAAAACTTTAAAAAGCAACTTATTTTCCGTCGAAATAAATGAAACAGAACTCGCTAAATGAAATTTCACGAAGATAGTTTGATAGATACCACCCAGCCGCTTCTGTATGCTATTGGCAGGGGATCGCGTATATAAATGCTAATTTTGATGGGAGTGGCTAGCCACGTGTATCGATAACCTATAGTAATGTAATAATAACAATCATTTTTAATCCTTTATACTTTAACCTTTCATGAATAATTTCAATTCAGTTGCCATATTGCATTGTGAGAAATAATTTATGCAAAGCCCTTAGAATATTTTCTACAGTTTCATTTCATTTTGCTTCAATTCAGTTTTTTCTAAACTTTTTCCCCGAAACCATTTTTGGTAAAATTTTCCAGAAATGCCAATCAGGTTGATTTGACAAACAAAATTTAGACTAAACTTGTAAACAGCATGATAAACTGCAAAATTCAAAGATTTGCTCATCCTTCAACATTAATTAAAATGTTATACATCTTCGTCATTAAATACGTCAATCATTATAGAAACATGTAATACTTCAATTATCGTAAATTAACATCGAAAAATCGAATAGAAAAATTCCAGCTGGTATTCAGTTGCTATGTCTTCATTTATTCCAATTTACTGTGACGTAATATGTTCATGTTACATTACAGATCATTCAGTAATAGCAGAACTTGATAATATCACTCCATCATTTCTAATTTATTTTAGAGAAATCGATGAGTAGACAGTACATTGGCCAGATGGTAAAGAAGATTGGATTCTTGGTGAAATCAATTGATATCATTTAATTAGTAACATATAAATGTTTGATTCAGAGTTTAAGGTATATCATGACTGTTTTAAGGTAATTAGTATTCTTATCAAAGTAAGACGAGATTTGTACTTGAAAAGTGTTCATCAAATTAATTTTCTTCTTTTTTAAAAATATATTCCATACTTCCAATATGATGACTTCATGTTTGCCGAAAAATGTTCGAAATGTAATTCATCTTCTGTTAGCCTAGAATAAAATTTTGCCATATATCACCCAATCATTTCTGTTAGGTATTGGTCGAAGATCGCATGCATAAATATTAATTTTGTTGGGAGTGGATAGCCATGTGTGTCGATAGCCTTTGTTCACGTACAGTAATGTAAAAATAGCAATCACTGTTTAATCCTTTGCAGTGAATAATTTTGCTTCAGTTGCCATATTGCAGTGTGAAAAATAATTTATGCTAATCTCTTGCAACGTTTTTTTCAGCTTTATTTCATTTCGCTTCAATTTTTCCAAACTTTCGAAATTGAGCGATATTAACCAGAGGAAAAAAAAACTATATTGCTATATTGCAAACTATATTTCAAAACAAAAGATTTTTTAGAAATTCTCATTAATCCAAAAACTTGGATGAAATTTTTTTTGATGTCTTCATCAGGCCAATATGATCAATTGTTTTTGACAGTAATCAATATGCCAGATCGACAACATGCTGGAAAAATTTGACAAAAAGCTTAATTATCACGAAATTGGCCTAAAAATCAAGGATTTTTTAAAAATTCTCATTAATCCGAAATACTTGAATGATACTTTTTTGGGCAACAAACATGAAAATTCTCATCCGAGTGTTTTGCATCAATGTAAATTTTTAAAAAATCCCCAATTTGATTACTGTCAAAGATCACTGATCGTGTTGCACATCAGCGAACACTCATTTCCTTCTTTTTTAGGCCGTTTTGCTTAAAATACAACAAGGTTATTGCCAACTTTGATCAGTGTGCTACCGATCTGCATAAATATCGCATGCATGGATTCTCTATTTGTTAAACATAGTGACTAAATGATAGGAATATGACGAGGAATTTTTAGGATAACTTTCAAAAATCTCAAAAATATTTTTTATTTTGGAATCAAATCAAAATACAATTTCCGGAAAAACTGGATTTCACCGGATCATAAAAGATTTCGCTCAACTGATTAAAATATGACGTCATGTAGTGCAAGTGAATTATTTATTTTGCCAATATGAATTATCACACAAATTTTTTCAGTACTAAATTTTCTAATTTTTTGAACTTTTCCAAGTTCAAATTTTCAAATTTTTCATTTTCTCTTTATCTTAATTTTTTAATTTTCATTGATTTTCTCGGAAACCTTCTTGTTGAATTTTTAATGAATAATTTATTTTATTATTTACTTTCACTTATTGCTTATAATGCAATTTTAAAAATAAAAATAAAAAACAGTTAAGGCTCATTTTCTTCACAGTTTGCAAAAATCTTTCATTATGATAAGGTTATTGCTAAATGTTAGTACATTGATGATGAAATCATATATTTAACATTAAGTGAAAATATCGTAATTAGTTTCCTTTTAGTAACCAATTGAGAATATGTCGTCAAATATCAAAATGATTTTACAGAAACCCGATGCATTTCAGTTTATTTTTGATCAACATTATATATAAATAAGCAAATACAAGATGTATGAGACTATTCATCTTTTCAAATTTAAGAAACAAACAACATTTTCAGTGAAATTACGCTGATTAATCTCATGTCAACTATTACTGTAGGAAGATCAATATTTAAATTATGTGCTCACTTTTGCTTTTTAATCAAAATTTTTTCTTAACTGGAACTTAAATAGTGATGGACAGTGCTAGTAAATAGTGAAGGACAGTGCTAGTAAATTACATCGGTTTTAGAAACAATGAAATTACTAAAAAGAAAAATATTTTTCGGTATCAAATATTGAACTCAGTGTCAAGGATTTTAGTTAAATCATTTTGTACCTAAAATGATTTAATTATTCCTTCCACCGAAATGCACACTGCCTCTTTT